ACGGGGTTAGGGAGCACTGCTGGCAAGATGGGCATTGTGGTTCTACAGTAACATAACCTTATATTACCTGTGATGATGCCACCCTTTTCCTTGCCTCTCAGAGTGGTTTAGAAAGGAGGAAGGACCCTTGGGGGAAAATCCCAGCATAAAACTTGACCAGCTAAGGAGAAAGGGTAAAAAGCCCTCAAATCTACTTGTGGTGGGGTTTAGGGGAGGCCTCACAGCCCTCAAAACGAATGGGTAGTGCAACTCTGTACTTTAGTGGATAGCTGCAGTGCAGTCAGCTGTACATGATCAGAGAGGAGACAAAGCCACCAGCTCTGAAATAGAGGAAGTACAGGCCCCCAAACAGGACCTACCCAACCCTGCAAGACGTTCTCCCAGGCCCAGTGGCTGTAAACCTGAAACACAGTTTGTAAGCTGCCTACGGTCTGTAAACAAAGCCCGACCTGGCCATGCAGGGGACCGAGTGTAGAAATGCCTGGAGCCATTGCACACTCAGCCTGCCACCTGACTCACACACCCAGTGGGAAAGCCTTTCCTGGCGAAGGGCAGGTGACAGGTCAGCTTTAAATACATGTTCTCAAAAGAAAAAATATATATGATCTGTCCTCTCACAGGAGAAACAAATCCAAAAGAGAAAATTTTAACAATAAGGTCCATGAAGCTTCACATCCTCTTAAGGCATTCGTTGTCTAGTTCAATGTCAGGAGCAGCAGGGGACTACCGGGTCCAGCCTGTCCAGAGTCCCTCTAGGCAGAGTGTAGTGGGATTACAAACTTGCAGCCAAAGGGTGAGTGGTAGTTGATCCCCACCTCCTGAAATACCTGTTGGGGAATGCCAATGTCGCACAAATAGACGCGTCCCGCATGCTCTCCTAGCGGGAGAGGCAGGCCCAGAGCCAGTGACCACTTGGCATCAATGCCCTGTTCGACTTCATGCACTGGAGGATCTATGCTGAGTACTGGTGCCCGGTTCTGGTTGGCCCAAGCCACAGCTGCCTTGTACCAGGGCTGATCCCGCAAGAAGGCGTTCTCGGGACAATCCAGACAGTTGATCACCAGGTCCACGGGACTAGTGGGCAGATCTGCAGGTGGAAAAAAATATCATCTGAAAATCCCTCTAAACCAGCGGTTCTCAACCTGTGGGTTGCGACCCCTCTGGCAGTTGAACGACCCTTTCACAGGGGTCGCCTAAGACCATCATTACGATTCATAATAGTAGCAACATTACAGTTATGAAGTTGCAACGAAAATAATTTTATGGTTGGGTCACAACATGAGGAACTGTATTTAAAGGGCCAAAAGGTTGAGAACCACTGCTCTAAGCAGAGAACCTAGGTTGGGAGTAGAATCCAGGTGGCCCTTCAAGTGTCTTGTTCAGACACTACTTCAATGCCTCTCCATAGGCCAACCTTCTAAGGCTGGGCCAGGCCTGAGGTCCCGGGAGTTCCAAGGCTTGGTGGGATGGATGCTAGAGACCAACAGCATGTCAGCCAGATGGACCACTCTCCTCATGGAACTCACAGACTGAAGCACTGTCCTGCTGGGTGTGCAGACCTTCTCACAGCGTAATCTGACTAACTTCCTGGGAATATTATGAGCTCCAGGAAGGTGGGGTCTACTGCCAAGTCAGCACTCACAGGGAGGCCCTGACTACCATTTGCTGACTGGCCCTAGAAATGAGCAGGCAAGAGCATGCCCACTTACTCTACTCTGGGCTGGCCTACTCACCCTGCTAGAGCCACCTGATCTAGCTGGTCTCTTCACTAGTCTCATGGAAATGGGTCTTCCTTGCAGCCCAACTTAAGAATGGGGAAGGAACCTATCACTTCTCCCAGGCATTTACAAAGGCTTCTCTGCTATAACCAGGCCTCTGGGACAGTATACTAGTAAGAACAGATGTTTTAGTAAGCATGTAACTCTTGACCAAGGTAAGAGGTTAAACTGCGAATAGCAGAAATCAGACCAAACTCAAGGGTTGGCATCCTCAGGCTTGCACAATTGGGACAGTGATTCTCAACCTGTGGGTCGCGAACAATGAAAATACATCCTGCATATCAGATATTTACATTACGATTTATAACAGTAGCAAAATTACAGTTATGCAGTAGCAACGAAAATAATTTTATGGTTGGGGGTCACCACAACATGAGGAACTGTATTAAAGGGTCGCGGCATTAGGAAGGTTGAGAACCACTGCGTTAGGGCAACCAGAGAAAGAACTGCCTGGAATGGGCATCATGTTACAGATTACAAGAAGGGGAACTCATACCAAGCCCCCTTCCCAGCTCTCAGCCTAAAGTAATGACTTTTTACAAAGAGACCTTTGGCTTCTTTACTTAGGACAGGGCACCATAGGTCTGAGTGCCCATAGGCCTGAAAGTTAAGAAACTGGCTCAAGCTCTGGCCCCAACTCGCCATCTGACCCCTGGCAAAGCCCTTTCTGTGGGCCACATTTGTTCTCTCCACTTTTTCCACTTAAACTCACTCTGATAAGATTTTACCCCCCGCTACTCCACTTGAAACTGCTCTTCCACACTGCTAAATCCAGTGGTCAATTCTCATTCTTTAGACAACCTAGAATATCTTGCTAACACAGTTCATCATACTCACCTCTGTTCACTTGTATTTCAGGTACCAGACTCTCCTAGTTTCCCTTCTCCTTCACTGATCACTCCTTCTCTGGTCTCTGACTCCTTGACTTGTAAACAAAGAAAATAGTCTAACAACTTCTCTATCTACTCTCTCTTCCTAGGAGATACCTTATCCAGACTCATAATGGCTTTAAATACCACATACACACTTATAACTCCAGAGTTGATCCCTTCACTAAACTCCAGACTCTTATTTACATATATAAATTTCCACCTGTTTATCTAGCGGCACCTCTGAGCTTCTGCTCTTCCCCCAAAAACCTCGTCCCTCAAGTCTTCCTATTTCAGTGATGGCACCTCCATCCTTCCAGTTACTTAGGCTGAAGACCTTGGAGTCACTCATTAAAAAAAAACCAAAACTCTTCATTGTTGAGAGTATTACAGATGTTCCCCTTTCCCCTCCCCATCGTCCGCCTCCAACACAATCCAGTCCCGCCCCAGGCCCTCACCATCCTATTGATCGTGTGTGTCCAATATGAACTCTTTGGTTAATCTCTTCCTCCACTCTCCCCTTAGAGATTCATCAGTGTGTTCCATGTTTCCATGCCTCTGGTTCCATTTTATTCACTAGTTTATTTTGTTCATTGGATTCCTTGTTCATTTGTTCTGAGTTTTAGATTCAATTACTGATATATGTTTGTTGCCATTTTATTGTTTGTTTTTAATCCTTTTTTTTTCTTCTTCTTCAAGACCCTTTAACATTTCATGTAATGCTGGTTTGGTGGTGATGAACTCCTTTAGCTTTTTCTTGTCTGTGAAGTTCTTTATCTTTATCTGACCCTCAGTTCTAAATGATAGCTTTGCTGGGTAATCTTGGTTGTAGGTCCTTGCTATTCATTACCTTGAGTATTTCTTGCCACTCCCTTCTGGTCTGCAAAGTTTCTGTTGAAAAATCAGCTGACAGTCGTATGGGTGCTCCCTTGTAGGTAAGTGACTGCTTTTCTCTTGCTGCTTTTAAGATTCTTTGTCTTTAACCCTTGGCATTTTAATTATGACTAGAGGCCCAGTGCATGAAATTCGTGCACGGAGGGGGTGGGGTTCCCTCAGCCCAGCCTGCACCTACTCCAATCGGGGACCTCTCGGGGTAAGTCCAATCGCTGGTTTAGGCCCGATATGTGGGATCAGGCCTAAACCAGCGGTTGGACACCCCTCTCACAATCTGGGACCGCTGGCTCCTAACCACTCATCTGCCTGCCTGCCTGCCTGATTGCCCCCCCAACTGTTCTCCCCTGCTGGCCTGATCTCACCCCCAACTGCCCTCCCTTGCCAGCCTGGTTGTCCCCCACTGCCCTCCCCTGCCGGCCAATTTGGTTCTGATTGGTCAGTTTTTATGCCAGTCAGCATCAAAAGCTCTGCCTCCTAGGCAGCCATTGGCTCCTCACAGTTGACCCAGATTTGGTTCTGATTGGTCAGTTTTTATGCCAGTCAGCATCAAAAGCTCTGCCTCCTAGGCAGCCATTGGCTCCTCACAGTTGACCCAGATTTGGTTCTGATTGGTCAGTTTTTATGCCAGTCAGCATCAAAAGCTCTGCCTCCTAGGCAGCCATTGGCTCCTCACAGTTGACCCAGATTTGGTTCTGATTGGTCAGTTTTTATGCCAGTCAGCATCAAAAGCTCTGCCTCCTAGGCAGCCATTGGCTCCTCACAGTTGACCCAGATTTGGTTCTGATTGGTCAGTTTCTATGCCAATCAGCGTCTCTGGGCCTATCAATGGGGCCTGATAAGAAAGGCTAGGCTAATCAGCAGCCCCGGTGGAGGCCTGGAGAGAAATGGAGGCGGGGCTGTTGGCCGGGCTGGGAGAGAAAGAGAGGCAAGTTCTGATCAATAGCTGCCACAGAGGCTACGGGTCAGACCCTGCCTCTTTCTCTGCAGGCCTCTCTCTGGGCCTGATCCACAGCTCCCTAGGCCAGTGGTCGGCAAACTGCGGCTCGAGAGCCACATGCGGCTCTTTGGCCCCTTGAGTGTGGCCATGAAGTTTCAATCGCACTGTACATGTGTGCCCGCATGTGGTATTTTGTGGAAGAGCCACACTCAAGGGGCCGCAGTTTGCCAACCACTGCCCTAGGCAGTCAGTGCTGGGTCGGGGCGCCTGCAGTGGCCCCAGTCTGGGTTGCCATGGCAACCTAGCACTAACTTCTGGTCTGGTTGAGCCTTCGGTCATAATGGTTGTTAGGACCCTGGCTCTTTATTATATAGATGTGTCTCGGTGTGGACCTCTTTGGGTTCCTCTTGTTTGGAACTCTCTGAGCTTCTTGGATATGTAAGTCTATTTCTTTCTCCAGGTAGGGGAAGTTTTCTGTCATTATTTCTTCAAATAGGTTTTCAGTATCTTGCTCTCTTTTTCTCTGGCACCCCCATAATTCAAATGTTGAGACGCTTGAAGTTGTCCCAGAAGCTCCTTACACTATCTTCATATTTTAGGATTTTTTTTCTTTTTGCTCTTCTGATTGAGTGTTTATGCTTCCTCATATTCCAAATCATTGATTTGATTCTCAAAATCCTCTACTGATGAAGCCCTGTAAATTATTTTTGATTTCTGACTGGACTTTTTTTGTCTTTGACATTCTCATTAAGATCCTTGAATGTCTCACTAAGTTCCCCGAAGCTCTTTGAGTCCCCTGAAGATCTCATTAGGATCCTTGAGTAACCTTATAACCATGGTTTTGAACTCTGTATCTAGTAGTTTGTTTGCTTCCATTTCTTTCATTTGTAACATGTTTTTCTCCGAATTTTGGCAGCTTCTATATGTTTGTTTCTATGTATTAAGTAGAGCTGCTACGTTTCCTGGAATTGGTAGTGTGGCCTTGTGTAGTAGGTATCCTGTAGAGCCCAGTGGCTCAGCCTCCCCAGTCACCTGAGCTGGGCACTCTAGGTGTGCCCCTGGGTGGCTGTGTGCACAGTCTTGTTGTAGTTGAGCCTTGATTGCTATTGGCGTCACTGGGAGGAATTGACCTCCAGGCCAATCGGCCGTGAGGACCAGCTGCAACTACAGTGGTAGAGCTGCTGTGCAGGAAACACCCCTATGGAGTAGGACTTGCTTCAGTGGGGCTTTGGTGCTCACTGAGTCTGCTCCTTGAGTATGTCTCTTGTGGATGTGTAGAGTTGTAATCTGATATGGTCTGAAGCTGTCTACCAGGTGCACTGACTCTAGGGCCTCCAGAGAAGTGCAAAGTCAGCCTCTACCTTGGGCCACCCAGCAGGAGCTACAGAGAGATCTACAGATGGCTGGTATTTTGTATTGGGCTAGGAAGTGCGCAGGCGAGGCCCAGCTGTGAAGCAAGGCAGGCTGCTGCTAGTGCCAGGCCTGGAGCCACTGATTGAGAGGTATGGGGCACACTGAGGCCAGCTGCTGCTTATTTAATTTTAGAAATGTCTGAAGCCTGAGCCAGGACAACCCGTTCATATGGAAAAGCCACTGCAAACAGTTTGGGTGAGGCATGAACAGTATGGGCCAGGTTGATGGAGACTCAGATATGGTGATGCCTTTGGCACTGTGGTGGGGAGGTAGGTCTCAGCAAAGGAACAATGGCCTCTGCCAGCACTTCTGTCTGGAAGAAAGCTGCCCCCCAGTTCTTGTGATGCCACACAATTTAGTTCCTCCCCGTATGTCCCTGGATTCTTTCAAGCTGCTGCCCCAGCACTGGAGCTCAAGAGGGAATGAGTCTAAGTTTGTGCACCAGCCCTTTAGGAGGAACTGCTTGGGATTCCTGCAGCCTCCGTGTCACTCAGCCACAATATCTGCTGGTTTTTACAGCCTGAAGTTATAGAGACTTCTCTTCCCAGTACTGGTATCCTGGGCGGAGTGGTCTGGTGTGGGGCTGGGACCCCTTGCTCCTCACGGGAGGGCCTCTGTGGCCAACATATCCCTCCTGGTTAAAAACATGCCACACGTGGGTGTCGGACTAGACTATTCCATGCCTCCACCCCTCCTACCAATCTCAATGTACTTTCTTTAATTCCCTGATTGTAGGACCTCCATTCAGCCAGATTTCAGGTGATTCTGAATGACGGTTGTTCTGTGATTTAGTAAATTTTGATGTGGACCCCGAGCTGGATTATACCTTTCTTCTACTTATTCCTCCAGTGACTTTCTATCTCACCCTAGTAAAAGTTCAAACCCCATAGGCTCTTGTCGATCTGACGTGGAAATATCTATGTCTGTTACTCCTTACCCAACACTCTCTTCTCTGCTTTATTTGTTTCCAAAATACTACAAGAAATGTTACTTATTCATCTGTCCTAACCAGAATGTTAAGCTCCATGGAAGCATGGATTTAAGAAAAACAAAAACAAGAACTATTGCCTTATCCCTACTATCAGGAACAGTGCCTGCTCCATTAATATTTTTGAAATGAATAAATGGGTCAACAGCTCTCTACCTGAGTTTGGGACAAAGAGGGTGAAGGGATGGGAAGTAGGCAAGTCAACACCAAAGTAGTTCCCATTTGTACTATGACTCCTTACAACAGGCAGAACATGCCTATACACATGGTGTTTTTCCACCTGTCGCCACTGGGCAGTACAACCAGACCATCAAACTACTGAGGAGGGAGGCAGCCTCAGCCCAGCCTTGTGCAAGTGCTCACCTTTGAGACTAGACACTTGTTGGCCTTGGGTCTTGCTGAAGAGAGACAACTCATTGGTGATGGACTCGAGCATCTTGACAAAGTTGGGCAGGAAGAGGATCACCTGGACATCATGGTTGGCTAGGTGCCTTCCACAGCTGATACCCTGAGCCCCCTTCACATGGGGCCCACATAACAAAGCTACTGTAGGCCTCTGGTGAACATTTTTGGGATTCAACCTGGAACAGAAGTAAAGACGCATTCTCAATTGCAGACCTGGCAATCCCTTGCACCCTAAACCAAGCAAGTACCTTGGCACCTGTTGCTCTCAGAGTTCCTGATGGTCCCAGGGTGCAGAGGTCTACAGCATGTTCCATACCCCAGTGTCAGTCACTTCATCTGCTGGATCTTCTCACTAGTAGTTCATCCAGATCTTGTTCCATAGAACACTGTTTTCTACCAAGAACATTTACTGTTCTCACAGTGTGAACCTATTAGGTCCAAAATCTGCTTAACCTCAGCAGCCTTCTTTACTTTTCTTCCCCAACATGCCTGCCCCACTGCAGTAAGTCTGGTCTCATCATTCTCTCCTGCACTTGTAAAGCTCTTTCTTGATTCTGCTCAAACTGTGTTCCCTCCCCAGAGAGCCCACCTTTTCTTTGAGATCCAGCTCAAGGCTCACCTTTTCCAGGATTACTCTGGCTCAGCTTCTAAGAAACTCACAGTAAGCACCAGACGGATAGTTCTAAATCGGTTACCAGTCCACGTTCTCTCTACTGAGCTTCCAGTAAGCTTTAATAAGGGCAACTTTGTAGATACTAATAGGACCAACTTCATAGGATGCTGTGTGGATCAGTTCTGAGAACAGAGCCCAACACACAAAAAGTGCTCCTAGATGTTGGCACTATCATAGTACTGGTCATAGAGGAGGCAGCAAGCTAGGGACTTTCCAGCCTCCTAGGTTGGCAATTGACTTGGACACCCACTTCCTGATGACATCACTTTCAGTTTCCTCTCAGGTCTCAGAGAAGCCACAGGTAAGGTTGGAGGATTAGCCCTGGAGCTGTGCCCAACCCAAAGGCAGTACAGTCTGCCCCCAGGGCAGGAAGGTAGGGGGAATGTACAGAAACAGGCTTAGGTCCCTGCATGGGGTGGAACAGTGACAGTTACTTACTGGTCTCCCAAAGGGAGGAAGTTGACAGTGCTGTCAAACCAAAGAGGAAATCCCTACCCTCCAAATAAATTTGGGGGAATACCATTCATTTCTTCTACTATATTTGCATCTTCAGACAGACACTGCATAGTTCTGGCATATGACTCACCTATGTCTTTTTCCTAAATGGACTCTCCCTCTCACAGAGGCACCCCCCATCAGAGGACTCAAAGCAGACCATGGTACCAACACACACAATAGTAGGGAGCAGAGCACAGGCACTGGAAACAGATCTATCTATATTGGACACCTGGCTCCATGTATGAGCAGGGTCACATGGGCAAGTCTTTTGGCTCTAGCTCTCTGAGCCTTAGCTGGCTCATCTTAGAACTCTAGACTACTACTTACCTTTGAGGTGACGTTATGAGTATCCAATTCACTGCTGTTGTGAAAGCACAGTGAAAAAGTGCATGGTCGCTCTAGTGGGTTTGGCTCAGTGGATAGAGTATCGGCCCATGGACTGAAGGGTCCCAGGTTCAATTTTGGTCAAGGGCACGTACCTCAGTTGTAGGCTCCATCCTGGCCTTGGTTGGGTACGTGCAGGAGACAACCAATTGATGTGTCTCCCTCACATCAATGTTTCTCTGTCTCTCCCCCACTCCCTTCTACTCTCTCTAAAAATCAATGGAAAAATATCCTTGGGTGAGGATTAACAACAATAACAACAACGAAAAATACATGGTCCTTGACATACATGAAAATGCTTAGTAAGTGGTAATCTTTCTCAAAGGAAAACCAGCAAATGCTGCAAAGGACAGGAGACAGTCCTTCTGAGAGTTCAGATAGGCACAAGGACAGCCAGCTCCAAGAAGCTGGCTTGAGAGTATAACTACTATTTCTGGGAAGCCACTTAATGGCCTCAAATACTCCTAGGAAGAACTTATTCCAGGAGCTGCCCCAATGGCCACTTTGGGGAAGGTGCGGCAGTCACCAGAACCAGGGGCCTGGTACTCCATCAGAGGGCAGCTTGCACCATTTCCTTCCTTGGGGAGGGGTTGTGTGTGTG